TGCCATTGTTAGAGGACAGAGGAACTAGATGTGGTTTTGTTATGGATGATGGGAGTTCAAATTTATAGGTGGGCGTGGAGGGGGAGTTGCTCTTCATTTAAAAAAAAAAAAAAAAAAAAAAAAAAAAAAAAAAAAAAAAAAAAAAAAAAAAAAAAAAAAANAAAAAAAAAAAAAAAAAAAAAAAAAAAAAAAAAAAAAAAAAAAAAAAAAAAAAAAAAAAAAAAAAAAAAAAAAAAAAAAAAAAAAAAAATCTGAAATTGCAAAAACGGTATGCACCAGCCGGGAATCGAACCCGGGTCTGTACCGTGGCAGGGTACTATTCTACCACTAGACCACTGGTGCTCGATGAGATTTATGTGGTTATAATGTTTTACTTATATATTGATGAACACCGTAATATTCTAACAAGTATTTCATCTTCGAAATAGTTACTAATGTAGTCAAATATTGTAACTTCATTTTTTTTTTTTAGTATAAGAGAAAAATATCTAAGTTTAGATATTACAAAACTGTCAGTAAAGATAAAATTGAAATAAATGTATAGGGGCATATAGATGAGAACGGGTTGGAATAAGTTAATAAACAGGTGGGATCGAGCAAAATGCTACCAACATTGCCACTCAAAATAAGTAGCTTTTTATCAAGCAACTGCTAAATATGCATACCAAATCAATGTCTTTTAGGGGTGTATATTCAACCCGATAACTCGGACCAACTTAACCCAAACTATAAGGATTCGGTTTATTTTTTTTTTGAAGAATCTGAACTGAATGAGTTCGGTTTCGTGTTCCTATGACTAAGACTCGGTAGTACTTCGGCCTGTCTAGGGACTTTCACTCCCATTGGACTGGGCCACGTCGGGTTCATCATTTGGAATTTCAGCCCACATAATTGGGGCCCAATTGATTTTTTTTTTTCTTTCTTGAGATGAAGCCCATTGGCTCTGTGTAAGTCCAGTTTTCTTCCCCAAGAATATTTCGCATGAGCCCTTTTATTAAATATAATTTCCCGAGCTTGTGGAAGCAGTCCATTGCTAGCAGATATTATCTGCTTTAGTCTGTTACGTTCATTAAGTATCGTCGTCAGCCTTACAGTTTTAATACGCATCTAATAGAAAGAGGTTTTCAACCGATGTGAGATCTCACAATCCACGCAATTAATGACCCAACATCCTCGCTTGCAAACCCATTACGTATCTTAGTCAGTCTCATAGTTTTAAAAATGCATGTACTGGATAGAGGTTTCTAACAAATGTGGAATCTCATAATCCACCCATTTGGAGGCCCAATGTCCTCGTTGGCACCCGTTACGAATCTCCGTTAGTCTCATGGTTTTAAAAATATGTGTCCTAGAGAAAGGTTTTCAACCGATGTGGATTCTCACAACTCACCCCTCTTAGAGCCCAGTGTCTACTATGAAGAGGTTTCAAACAGATATGGGATCTCACAATCCACCTCTTGGTGGCGCAATGTGTATTATGGAGAGTTTTCCAATCGACTGGGATCTCACAATCCACCTTGTGGACCAATGTCTGCTATGGGAGGTTTCCAATCGATGTGAGATCTCATTATCCACGCCCTTGGGCCCAGTATCTATTATAGGGAGGTTTTCAACTGATGTGAGAGCTCACAATCCACCTCCTTTAGGGCTAGCGTCCTCAATAGCACATCACCTCGTGTCTAGCTCTGATACTATTTGTAACACCAAAGTCCACCGCGAGCAAACATAGTTCGCTTTAGTCCATCAAACTATGCTAACCAAATCTCAAAACGTTTTTACTATTATTATTATTATTATTTTAAAATCCACTTAATAGTCTTCCATTTTTGCAATAATATTAAACAAAATAAACATTTTTCAAGAATGAATATATAAAACAAACTTTTAAGTCGATTTCTCTTAATTTACTGTTTAAATTTGATGGATGTTACCACACATCTCAATCAGATTCTAAAACATTACTTAAAAAAAAAAAAAAAAAAACAAAAAAAAAAAAAAAAAAAAAAAAAAAA